CTCATGTCCTGCATCCTCCAGACAGAAAGCTTTTGCAGGCATTTGTTTCAGACTCCTATGATGGTCCTGTTTGTCTAACCAGGAAGAAATAAAGCCAATATTAAATTAAGCCACATCTGTATCTTATTTTCCACAGGAATTCTGGGTTGCATGTTCCAGTTTAACCACACCCTTCCCCAATTTTCCCCTGATCTGCTACCACTTTTACACAGGTGCCTTCTACCTAAATCCTAACTTCTCTGTTCTTCCTTTGCTTGACCCTAACTCCTACTTCAAGGAGACCAGGTGGCTCAACAATTAAGCAGTTGAAAGTACCCAGGGACTCCAAGACTCCTGTAAGGATTACAACCTAGAAAATCCTATGGATAGTTCTACTCTTTCACATGGGGTCACTATGAATTGAAAATTGACTTGGTGGTGCCTAGCAACAACAATAACCACTCCCACCACAGAAGGGCAAAGACCTGTTCTTGATTTATTTTTTATCTGCACAGAACCAAGCACAGTGATGTACCTGTAGTAAATTCTTGCTAACACTTCAGGAATGGGTGGGCTAGCTGAGGGCCCCAAGGTCTCAAATCAAGAAAATGATCCTTATGATTTTATGAACCATATCTAAATACCACAACCTAGATGGCTAATAAGAACACATATTTATCGCCGCACAGTTCTGGAGGCTAGTAGCTCAGATTAATAGGACCATGTTCTCTCTGTCATCTCTAGAGAAAGATCTTTTCTTATCTCTTATAGCTTCTGGTAGCCCCAGGTGTTCCTTGGCTTGATGCATCTTCATGGCTGTCATCTCTCTATGTGTCTTTTCTCCTCTTTTATAGGACACTCCTTAGATTGGATTAGGACTCACCCCACTTCAGTATGACTTCATGTTAACTGATCACATCTTCAAAGATCCTATTTCTAAACAAGGTCACATTCACAGGTATTAGGGGTTAGGACTTCAACATATCTTTTTAGAGGACACAAGGCAATCCATAACACCTGACTTGTTCAGATCATTGCTTTAATGATAGAATGTATGTAACGTACATAACACATACCAATGCACAAGGGGTTGTGTGGTTTGCAAAAATTCATATAATGCATGGATTACCAAAAATATAGTACCTTTAAAACACGAAAGGATACTAGTAAAATAATATGCTGTTTTTGATTATTGCACCTATTCTTCAACTTTGTAGGCAATATTAGATTTCTGATTATTTCTTTTGTGTGAAAATTTAAAGTCACATAGTGATGCTGTAAAAAAGATTTTAAAAGTTCTTCAGAGCCATTCAGAAGGAAGGAGTCTGCTAAGGGTTTGATAAATAGTAATGCATAAAGCAGAGCAGGTCTTTTGCTGTTAAACATTGGTATCTGCTGTCATTTCCTAGAAGTTCTAGCAGAGGATGTATCCTTACTCTAAATATGTCATTTATTTATTGTGCACATTGCTGATACAGGAAAAATATGTAAGTCCCTTCTTTAATACATACCAACATCATTTCCACTGAACCTTGGCAGGAAAAGGAATCTTCTAGAAAATCAAATGAATCAATGGACTCAAGTATTGCCTCCCTTATCCCCAGGGGTGGGGTGGTGGTGGTGTGGACCAAGTAGTTTTCCGTTCATTGAAACCAAAATTTGTAAGGATTTGGCATCATATCCCGGAAGATAAAGACCTACAGAGCAGTTTCTGACAACTGTTTGGTTACCTAGTGGTGTCACTAGGGGAGTGTCAGTGGTGTGGACTCTACCAGGTGACATTGTCAGAGGGGGTGACACCAAAATGACTGTCTGTAAAATTTTTGTACAGTGT